ATTTATTAGCCATGGCTGTTTGATYGAATATTACAAATACCTGTCTTGAACTAGATTAAGCAAAAAAAAGGAGGATTTGTGGGTTTCTGTAGGTAAACAAGGAAATGTAGGAGTGGCAGTAGACACAACTTGTCTGCCCATTATCTGTACCTCTGTCTTCTCACTGTGCTCTTTTCTGAACACACTGAATTCTATGGGGTGGGATTTCTGGGAATATATTCTCTTTCTGATGAAAAGGGACATGCTCTGCTGGCATCCACTTTTCCCTCTTCCTGCCTGGAATGATAAGGAGAGTGGAGAAAATGGTCTTTGATGTCATCATGGAGCCAGCAACCAGATCTTTCCTGCTGCCCTTTGATCACTTTCTACCCAAGAAAAACAAACTCTTTGGATATGGCCTGGAGTTGAGCTCTGGTGACACCCAGTTGAACACAGGCACAGGCCTAATGCAGGGCAACCGGATTCTAGGATCTGCATAGTGTAAAGTCCGTCCATCTTTTTCTTTCCAGTTTACTATTCCCGAATCTCTCCCAGGGCAAGAGACCTGGTCCCAGCAGCTCTGGAATCTACTCCAACAGCATCCAGTCTAGGGGCAATTGGGAGCTACCCCTCTGATTGCAAATGGGGTGACATCCAGGGAAGAAATCTGATTGGTATGACTTGGAGGATACTCCTTGAGCTGATCCCTGTGGACAAAAGGAGGGGGTAACACCATCCGTCCAGTCCAGTCCTACCAGAAACAGGAGTGTGTGTGTGTGTGTGTGTGTGTGTGTGTGTGGTGGGGGGCACTCTCCTAAAGGAGGAGAGAGAAAACTTCTACCAGGAGTGGGAAAGACAGGCGGGCAAGAGGAAGCAGCTGGCTGTCCAGCTGCGTTGAAGGCAGAGACACATGGAGAGGAGGGGCCAGGGGATTATCCCCTCCCTACAAACGCATTTGCTGACAGCCTGACTCTTCTCTCCACCAGGCAGACTGGGTCCCTTATTCTCACTGTAGGTCGCGTGGGGCATATTACTGTCTGTTTCCTCCTGGCAGCTTCAAAGGTAGGCACGGACACTTCATCTGCCTGATCCTGTATCCCTCCTGCCCGTCCCTAGCACAGAGTGCTAATTCACTAGATGAATGAAAAGAAGGGAGGGAAGGGTAAAGTCGGAGAGGAAGGAAGTCAGGGGGAAGACTCTTTTGTTCAGCTGCAGTCTTGGGTGTGTGATGAAGACCCAGCAGATCTCAGGTGGGTTAGGGCTAAATTTTAGTGGRATCTTGAATGTCAGGCCAAGTTTGTGCAGATAAAGCAGGGAACCATTGAAAGCTTTTTAAAATTTTTATTTATTTTAATTTTTTATTTTTCTTTAACGATGCTGGCATTTTAAAAATTTGATCTAATTAGTTATACATGACGGTGAAATGCATTTTGACACATTGTACTCAGATGGAGCATAACTTCTCATTCCTCTGGCTGTACGTGCTGCTGAGTCACACCAGTAGTGTATCCTACATGTACACAGGGATAAAAGGGTGTCCATTGAAAGCTTTTGAGCAGAGAAAGACATATCAGAGCTGCTGGGCTCCTGAGCCTGTCCCTTTGACCCCTGGCTGCTAACAGTCCCTATTTTCCACTCTCTGGCTTCTCTGTGATCCTTCTTGGTCTGGTATTGCATCGGTCTTGATTACCTTTGATCCAGGTTCCCATCCTACTTCTCCTCTCTCCACCTCCTTCACCAATCAGTTCCGAGCTGACTTTGGCCTTGGCTTGCGGTGGAGAGGACGGTTCCCCCTGATTGGTGCAACCGCGTGTCCTTCCAAAGAAGCCACCGGAGAAGCTCTTGGCTGCCCTCTTCTGGGAACAAGTGGGTATAGCCACCTGCTCATCTGGAATTGACAGAACCCTCCCTCCCCACTCTGATTTACCGTATCCACCTAAGATTTTTCTTTTGACTGCCTATCATGTGTTTGGGTTTGTCTGGTGCATAGGATGCTTCTGAATTCCCATTGGTATCAATATTTTTCTTTGTGGTATCTAACTGCTACGAAAATGTCAAAACACTTAATTTTGTTAATTTACCTACAGAGTCTGTTTTTATGTCTGAAGCCAGGTCACTTTGGTTTTGAAAGCAGTGGAGGAGGTAATGTGTTGGAGTTTTATAAATATGTAAGCCTTACATATTTACATCCCCCTGGAGAGCGTCTTCCTCCGTAAATCACACTCTGATGCCTTCATCAAAATACAGAGGTTCTCAAACATTTTCTTAAAAAATTTACAATAGAATCAAGGCAATGTCCTAATTAATGATTTTGCTAAGAGATAATTGCTGTTTCCAGACATTTCAGGCTTGTAACACAGATGAAAAATCACTTGTGAGACTTTTTTTGTTTTGTTTTGATCTCATAAAATGATAGATACACATCTCGGCAGAACATGTGACGGCTGGTTGGCCTCACTGTGGGTGACAGAAGTAATTGTTTCTGAACAAATAGTTTTTGTCAGGCCAAAAGCTAATTGCCTACACATTTTGGTGGGCAGACTCCTACCCACACATCTGGGTGGACTCTCACGGGGCCAACAGCACACTTCCTAGGTGCCCACTTCCTTTTCTCCACAAGTTCAAATCCAGCCTGTCTTTCAAGACCTGTTCTCATCTCTTTTCTCTGAGATCCCTTCTCTGCATCATGATCTCTTTTTCTTCTCAATGACACTGCAGTAGTTTTGGGCATTTACTTAGCAAAAGTCATGTGTTATTTTGTGACATCTTTTTTTTTTTTTTTTTTTTTACTTTTTAATGAAACATTATTTATACATTTGTACTGTTATTTAACTTTCCAGAAGTTTATGTCCCATGTCTTCCTTTGAAAGATAAGACATTTTAATGCCAGGAACTCTGTCTTACACTTGGTTGTTTACACCACAGAATGTGCAATGCCTATTACTATATATTCAATAGATGAGCAGCAAGTGCCGCTGATTGATGGATTGTCGTATCATTTGCCTATCCTAGCTCTAATTAGTATACTTGCTTGAGAAATTATTTACAAAAGACAGATTGGCCTAGGCCATCATTAACACTTCTCTGAAATATTTTCATGCATTTAGATGCTTTGCAAAATGTATTGCCCAAATGGCGCTATGTGTCTATGTGTGCACATAACAAAGGAAGCCAAATCAAAACCATCCTTTTAATTTATTGATGATGCATGATCATTTTAAAATTCATTTTTAATCTTCATCAAAGTTATACATGTGCATACTTTTCAGGATCAACTAATTTCAAAGGGTGGACTGAAAAACAGCATCCATAGTGCCCTGCCATTTCTTGTAGTTGGTTCTCCTTTCACCTTCATCCCAGGGACCCCCTTTGCATTCTCTCTTTCTTGGATTGATTTTCTTATTCCACAGACTCTATCTCTTCTTCTTTCTTGGTTTGCATCCTAATTTTAGATAAACAATCTTTCTAATAGCTTCCTGAGATGGGGTTCATGGSAGGTAAATGTTTTGAGACCTGTATTAGTCTGTTTTCAGTTGTTACAACAAAATACCAGAGGCTGGATACTTTATAAAAATAAAAGGATCACTTAACTCACCATTCTGGAAGTTTGAGAGCATGGCACCAGCAACTCCTTGGCCATCTGGGCTGCGTCACAGACAACTTGGCAGATGGCATGGTGGGAACGTGTGAAAAGAGGGAGATCATGGGAAGAGAGAAAGCCAGAATCTGGAGAGGGGCCAGTCTTGCTCTTTTTATAGCAGCCTATTCTCCTAACAACTTCARGACCAGTATTAATCCCTCCTGAGGGCAGTGCCCCCAGCAACATCACCACCTCCCACCAGTTCTTCCCCCTCAGCATGGCCACACTGGAGACCAAGCTTCCAACACAAAAACCCTCAGGAGGCAGAACACATCTAAATCATAGGAAGACCTGAGTGTCTGAACTGTTTGTATTCCACTCTAATATTTAATTGCTAATTTTGACCGGCATAGAATTTAGGCTGGAAATGATTTTCTATCAAACTCTGAAGTCATTGCTCCATTATCTGTTAGTTTCTAGGGTAACTATTGAGAGATCCATTGTCATCCTGATCTTTTAGTAATATATATATATATATATATATTTTTTTTTTTTTTTTTTTTCTGGAAAATTGTAAGATTGTCTCTTTTGTTCTGGAAATTCAAAATGATGAGCTTTTGTATTCCCCTATCTTGATCTATTGTATAAGGTATTTAATGTACCCTTTCATTCTAGAAACTCAGGCCCTCCATTATCAGGAGAGTTCTAGAATTATTTCTTAGATCTTTTATTTTACAAGTTCTCTTTTTCTGAAACTTCAGTCAAATGTTCAACTCCTAATTTTCTGTTCTTCTTTTGTCTTTTGTTTCATATCTTCTGTTTCTTTGAATTTTCACTCTACTTTCTAAGAGAACTTTATCTTCTGCCTTGTCTATTGAAATTTTCTTTGTTTCATAGTTTGAATTTCTAAGCACTTTATTTTATTCTACAATTGTTTTCTTTCTGCTGGCGGGTACTTTCAACTTTAATAACTACAAGAACTTCTATTGGTTGAGGATGTTAATGGCACTTTTGAAGTTTGTTTATTTATTTATCTTCCTGCTGAGTGTTCTAGAAGTTGTCCGATCCCCAATGTTTTGGCCTCTATGTTTCTTCGAGGTAGCAAATTTCCTCAGAGGACTAGCGATCACTGGCTAAGGCTCACATTTTGACATGGGGCTCTTAAAAGCTAATTGGAAGCGTAGTGTGTTGGGGTGGAACTCGTTAACTGTGGACRTCACTATTTGTGAGGAGATTTGGTTGGTCTGATTCTTCAGGGGAATTCTGCTGTCAGCATTTCTAAGCCTTTTTTTTTTTTTTGAGTACATAGATTTTCTAATACAGGTGTGCTCCTGTCTCTGGCAGCGGGGGGGTGGTAAGTCCGGCTCCCTGTGTTCTGGGGGCTAAGGAAGGGTTCTTCCTGATCCCTATGGGGATTCTCAGTCGATCTTCCTGTTTCCAGAGCTTCGTCCCTGCCTCCAACAATGCCTCATGTGTCCCACTGAGCCCGATCCTTTCCAGGTAATAACCCTCCAGTCCCTTGGATTGGGGAAGGGGCAGGGAGTCTGGGGAGGGTTTGCTATTTCTTAAACCAATCACGTGTGAACAGACTCAGTTTCACACCCATGTCTGGTGGTACTCCGGACTCTAACAGTTGGGTTGCTTCTTGAAGTGTTTTGAGTCAGGCTTCTTAGGTCTGCTAGGTGAGTTTTCACCATTCCTGTTCTAGGTCTCCAGATTTTATCCTATCATGTTCTTTCCTGTTATCTTTGTCATTGAAGTTTGCTGACTTAAAAAAAAATTCCTTTACTGTGATTTTTATTGGGATGTCTGGAGGGAGCAGAATGAATGTGTATGTTCAATCTACCACCTTTATCTGCATGTCTGTAATATTCTCTTATAGCACTCAATGATTTTATGGAAAGAGTGGGAAGATGTTTTGGCATTAGACTCTAAGGAACTGGAACCACATTTGCAGAATTGATAACAGATGCTGGAAGTTGGAGCTGCTGCCTATTATTCTCTTGGATTAAAACAGAGAGCCCCAGAGAGAATTAGTAAGTGGGACATCTTWTGAATGCTTAATCAAAGTTTGGATTCCGTTTTATACTTAGAGAAAGAGAGTGAGGATGGTCTGTATTTAGTTAGCAGTACATTGCAATTTTGCAGAGATGCTATGTCAAGAGCCCAGGTAGCGTTTATAGGGGAGCTGGGAACCATTAGTCTTTGATCTTGAGGTGGAGAACAATGCCATGGTGCCTGCAGACTTCATTCAGCCTGGTTTGGACTTTGAGATCATAACTAATACCCGTGGATCTTTTATCCCTTTTTTTGTGGGGCAGGGTGGAAATTTTGGCCACAGGAATTATGTCTTTGGGCCTATGCTTCTGAGTGTCAGGAAAACACTTGTGAAAGTGGTTAGGAAGAGCTTTCTATAAAAGTTTCCTAATCAGCATCCCAGTGCAGGAAAGGAAAAAGAAATTACATCTAGGGACCTCTATTGTTCATTTTTTTGGAATTTATGATTGCTCTGACCTACTTCTGCCGTCCTTACCACCACCACCAACTCCACTTACAATGGCCACCATTTCTTTAGCACCTATTAGATTCCAAGCACCCTTCTCAGTACCTGGCATGCTGCCCTCATTTGATTCAGTTGATCTTCCTGTTTCCAGAGCTTCATCCCTGCCACCAACAATGCCTCATGCATGAAGCAGATGTTCACATCAGCTGCACAGGCAGTCAATCGAATAACAATAGCATCATTATTGAAAGATCACTGGGACACACCATCCTCCAAGTTCTTCACGTGCACAGCCAATTTCAGCCTCACGACAGTCCACGGGATTGGTTCTTCATAATCGCTGCTTAACATGTGAGGAATCTGAGTCTTGGAAGGTTGGGGAATGTTTTTCAGGTCAGATCTGGAAGACTGGGAGAYGGCCCAGGTTGGCATTATGCTTTCTACTCTACGAATAAGAGAAGGTATCTTCATTCAATTGATTTAATGGGAAAAAAGGATGTACAATTTTGTGTGTGGGGGGACACAGTAATAGAAAGAAGAGGTAAAGGTCATCAGAGACAAAGTTTAATTTTCTCAGAAATGGATCAAAGAATATTTGGTTTCTCAAATAAGATACCAATAATTTGATCTAATATTTTTATAACTCTTGGTTGTTCAGGAGGCATATTTATATTCATGTAACCCTATAAAATGGGCAATTCAGGGAATATCATCTCCATTTTATAGAAGAAGAAACTGAATTCAGAAAAGTGAATACAGACAGTAAAGGAGAGAATCACATCCGTTCATTGATGTGTTTAGTCAATAGACATTTTTTAGKTCTATCAGATACCTGGTAGTGTTTCATGATCTAATTTATCCTGGCAAAATATCCCTCTAGCTATCATGTGGAGAATTTCCTGAATGTGTGGTAGGGGGTCACTGACAGGGAGGGTGGGGAGTAGCCAGGGTGAGCGGATGCTGCAGTAACACRCTTCATGATTGGCTGCTCTGTTCCACATCCTTCCACTCTAGGATCTGGGTTGATGGAGCAGCTCCATCTGGAACATGGCTGGGTTCATGGCAGAGATGAAAGAGATCGTGTGAACCATGCTGAGTCTGAACTCTTCTGCCTGGAAGTGACAAACATCATTTGCATCGCACTTCATTGGCTAAAGCAAGTCACCTGGCAAGCCTAGCGTCAATGAGGGTGGGAAGCATAAACCTCTCCCAAGAGGAGCAGCGAATACAGGTGGTTCTTGATTTATCATGGCTCGACTTACAGTGTTTGACTTTGTGATGGTGTGGAAGTGATTTGCATTCAGTGGAAACTGTACTTTGAGTCACACCATTAGTGTCTTCATACATGTACTTAGGGTAATGATGTCCATCTCATTCYAATATCTTTCCTACCCCCATTCTCCCTCCCTGCTCCTGCCTCCCCTTTGCTCTATCTAGAGTTTGTCTAATCCTCCCATGCTCCTTCTCCAACCCTATTATGAATCAGCTTCCTTATATCAGAGAAAACATTTGGCATTTGGTTTTCTGGGATTGGCTGACTTCACTTAGCATTATCGTCTCCAACTCCATCCATTTGCCTGCAAATGCCATGATTTTATTCTCTTTTAATGCTGAATAGTATTCCATTGTGTATATATACCACATTTTCTTTATCCATTCATCAACTAATGGGCATCTAGGTTGGTTCCACAGTTTTGCTATTGTGAATTGTGCTGCTATAAACATTGATGTGGCTGTGTCCCTATGGTATACTGTTTTTAATTCCTTTGGGTATAGACTGAGGAGTGAGATAAATGGGTCAAAAGGTGGTTCCATTCCCAGTTTTCCAAGGACTCTCCATACTGCTTTCCATATGGGCTGCACCAATTTTCAGTCCCACCAGCAATGTATGAGTGTACTTTTTCCTCCACATCCTTGCCAACACTTATTGTTGTTTGTATTCTCAGTAGCTGCCATTCTGCACATGTATRAAGACATCAATGATGTGACTCTACTTTGTGTACAACCAGAGATAGGAAAAATTGTGCTCTATATGTATAATATGAATTGTAATGCATTCTGCTGTCATATATAACAAATTAGAATTAAAAAATAAAAAAGAAACTGTACTTTGAATTTGGATTTTTTCCTGGAGCTGGATTATGTCTTGAGGTACTGGGCAGTGGTAGGAGCCACAGCTTCTCCTTCTCAGCCATGAGATCATGAGAATGAGCAACCCATACTCTACAGGGTACTGTGTTGTTAAGAAGTAGTGGGTGGTGGGTTAGATGTATTAAATGCATTTCAGCTCATGATATTTTTCATCTGATAAAGGGTGTATGGAGACATAACCCCATCATCAGTCAAGGACGTCTGTACTTGGAAACCATAGTCAATTTACCACCCATTCCCAGGAAGCTATTTTAAAATACGAAGCTGGCGTTGGCTGGGGTGGTAGCAGTTGAGGCAGTGAAAATAAATGATGATTCAATAAGGTGTAGTGTGAAAGAAGAAGGAGTTAGGAGGAATGCTGGGTTTTGAAGGGAACACGCTGGTGAACAGGAATACCATTTGCTAAAGTGAGGAAGACCGAGAGAGGAGCAGGTGAAGGGGAGAGAGGAATTCCATGTTGGACACGTGGGGGGAGAGATTCCTAATAACATTGACTCTTAGGATAAAATTTGGGAGCCATTAGTATATAGACTGCCTTCAGATGCACAAGGCTGGATGAGATCTTGCAGAGAATGAGAGGGGACAGAGGAAACAAGAAGGCTGAGGTTGAGCCCTGGGGCTCAGCAGCATGTGAAGGTCAGAAAGAAGAGGAGACTCAGAGAGAAGAGGAGAAGAGGAGATGAAACACGCATCTCTCACATGCATTTGTGCTTGGCCTGTGGGGCTCGCCTGCTGACAGCCATTTCTGGTTGTGTGTGAGATGCCACACTCTTTTCAGTCTCCTCCCAGGCTCACACTTTATTACATGTGGAATGTTCCAGAACTGCAGAGGGGAAAATGTGCTCCATGAAATGGACAATGTTGGCTGCTGCTGAGAAGTTGAGTCGGATGAGAAATAAGGTCCAGGGTCACATTTGACCAAATGCACTTGCCAGGCCATCAAGGGGTGACCTTGTTGCATGATGGAGGTGAAAGTCTGCTTGGCGTGTAAACGCCCACGTGTCCTTTGGGTTATACGTCCCATGCCTCCCTTGATTTGCACAGGCAGTTCTCATGTATGGAATGGAGCCATTAAAATAGTTATGGAACCAAATCATGTGTATCTCATGCTTAGGGTCACTCGGTCCAGGAGAACAACTACCTGAACCCCTGAAGACACCTCCTGAGCCTAACTGGTCCACCGTCTTGCCTTCTGAGTGTGTGGAGTAAAATCTGTGCAGAAATTTCTTCATTCCCCTCCATCTAGGCTCAAGGCAAAGGCTCCATTAGTGAGAGAGAATTCTATCCATTTGTTATCTCCCTCCACCCTAGAGAAACAAGATGCTAGAAAAAAATAGAAGCTTCTCATTTACTGTCCAACATCAAGAATAGGAAATAAACTTGCTTCCAAGAACAATACGTTGAATTAAATGGGGGTAATTTTACTTCAGAATAATACTCTTGGGGGGCTTTCCAGAGTAATAAAATAGACAGCGAAAACTACAAAGTGGAGTGAGGAGAAGGTGGGAAGTGAAGAGGAGATGAAACGCGCATCTATTCCACATGCGTTTGTGCTTGGCCTGTGGGGCTTGCCCACTGACAGCCGTTTCTGGTTGTGTGTGAGATGCCACGGGAGCTGGGGACACCAGGTGTCACTCCTGTGGCTCAGCCTCAGGTCCTGGTTGTATCCTGAGCGAGCCAGTTTGGGGAGTCAGGAAAGCAAGGCTGGGGGGAATGTTTCCTATAAGCTTGAAAGACTTCCAGCATTTTTCAAAGATAATTATGGTCCTTGCCTCTTAGAATCAGGTACTCGGAGGCAAGGGCAGTGTTTTGAACGTTTAATATACAGTAAAGAAAAGGCCCTGAGTAACTGGAATGGACTCCAGACTCATCAGCACAGAGGCTCACTGTACCCAACATTTTAGCTGAATTTGAGGCTGATCTGCATGTCTAGTGAAGGTCAGTAGGGATGGAAATAGAGCAAATTAAATTTCATGCATGTATGATTATGTTAAGATGAATCCCACTATTATGTGTAACTATCACGTACTAACAAAAGCGTAAAAAMAAATAGCGTGGGCCCTGCAGTTCCATCTTAGATGTCTCTTGGAATCCCTAATAGCTCTGACTTTTTGAACAAGTGAAAGCTCTCCTGAGCTTCATTTTCCTCGCATCTAAATAGAATATTATTTTCTTTTAGGACTATTTTGAAAAAGAAACAAAATGAGTTTTATTTGTTTATTATTATGAAGCAAATCATCGGAAAACTTGGTGACTTAAAGCAACAATGATTTCCTATTGCTGGCTGGATGAAGAGCCCAGGCAGGGCCTGCTGGGTGGTTCTCCTGTCCCCTGTGGTACCTGGGTGGGGGTGGGGGGTCTTGCTCAGCTGCATTCACCTGGCATCTGGGCCTGGGTAAGTGGTCCAGAAAGGTCCTGTGCACTTGCTGGCACTTCACTGCTCCTCCATGTGGCCTCTCTGTCCCCATACATTCAGGAATCTCAGCATCTTCACAGCATGGTGGCTGGCTTCTCAGAAGCAGAGAGGCCGCCYATCTGTCTTCCGGTTTAACCCCAGAATCGACACAGTGTCACTTCGGTCATACTCTAGAGGACAAGACAAGTCATGAGGCCAGGGAAGATTCTAGGGGAGGAAGGGAAAGGGAGGCCACCTCTTAGAGAATTGAGCATGGGGCATGCACAGGGAGGAAAGCCGGTATTTTCCACAAATAAATCATGGGAAAGTACAGTGTTCAAAATCCTTCATGGCTCCCCCGATAGCTTGCATTCAAATTCCTTGGCATTGCACTTAAAACCTTTGATGATCCCCCACCCCTGACTCTTATTCTGTAGAGCTCCCTTCCTCGCAGCCCCACTCCAATCCACTGCTTTGCATGTGCTGCTCTTGCTAAACTAGCCTCTTTCCTCCTGTGTATACCTCTGAGCCCTCCTCAGTGCTGCCTCTGGGATTCTCCTCCACCCCTGCCCTCGCCTCCCCACTGCGTGTTGCCCTTCATTTGGGCAAAGGCTTTGTCTCTCTCTGTATTGAATCCACCTGTTTCCTGAGCCCCTCTCTCCAGGCTCGTTAAGGGTGAGACCCTTATGAGACTCCGTGATGGTGTCAGGCCCTGGAAAGCAGAAGGACTTTCCATAGTTGACTGAAAACGGAACAAGTGTGCCGCCAGGTCAGCTTTCTGAGGCTCGGCGTGGCCTGGAGGAGACCTGTTCATTTCCTTCACATGAGCAGGTGACTGGGCTGGGGTCAGGGAAAAGGTGACAGGGAAGGGCAAGATGGAGGGGTTGGATCTTAAACTCACCAGGAAAGATGAGAGGGAGGGGGACGACAGTCAGCCAGCACTGGAGTCACCGGTGAATTATGAAGAGGGGCGCGGGGTCCCAGAAGGCGAGAGTGGGAGATGATGAGGCCGGTTCAATTAAACTTCAAAGGAGTTTGTTTCTGTAATGAAGCAAGAAAGAGAAGTTTCTTGGAAGAAAACAACAGGGAGCAGAGAGGATTCCTGCCCCACCTCCACCCCCCCGAGGCTAAAGGTTATGGGGGAAAAGCTCTTCRGAGCTTGAGAAACCTGTGGAGCAACCAGAGGTGGGCTCTACTTTAGCTGGAGAAAGAAGGTGACTGGGATGATCAGAGATTGAGGGTGAAGGGACATTTTCTGGTGAGAGCCTCAGTTCCAGAAGGCTCTGTGCAGAGGTTCCAGGGAAGACAAGGAGAGGGCGATGGTCTCGCTAGTGGATGCCCAGGCAGAATGAAAATAAGCCTCCATCTGGACTCCTGATGGTGCCTGAGATGATCCAGGATGGTGATGGAACGGATCGTGGGTGTCTGAGAGGATAATCATCACCTAAGAGTATGGACAGATGTGTAGCTAGGGCCACCACGGAGCTCCTCAGTGTTGTGGCTCAACAGGAGCAGGCTGAGAAATGGGTAGAGGACCCTGGTAGGTAGCCCACAAGCTGTGGTACTTGTGGGYGGGACTTGGGGATGGCCTGTCTATCTTAACTGGAGCATGAGAGGAGCTGGGAGTTGTGGCTTGGTGAGAACTGTGGGGTACTGGGTTCTCCTGAAAGGGCCTAGTCAATTTGATTGAGGAGATGGAAGGGCTGGATGTCTCGCTCATGGAGTGTGGCATGGAAGAGCTCAGAATGGGAGCGATGGTTTGTCGAAGGCCACATAATTTGTAAATGTCAGATCTGGAGTTCAAACTCAGGTTTTCTGAATTTGAGTTCATTTCACTT